AAACCACTATTTATGGTCTTGCTCACTCTTTGAAGAAATGAGAGGAAATTTCTCCTTTAGTGGAACATATTTCTCCATTACTGGAACATTTTAAACACTGGACTAATGAGGAAAAAAATGTCTGGCTCTTTGCTGATAACTTGCAACCTGTTCTGCACTCTCTAGGTGAATTCGTATGACTTGAACAAAGAACAAGGATGAAAATCAAATAAGATTCTGCTGTTTTTATTCTTTTATTCTACTGCCACATTTCCTTGAATCAAAGACAAGGGTTTTTCCTCCAGCCGGCATGAGAGGAAAGTCGCTTGTCTTAGATTTGCATATAAAGTTGAAGACGGAGCAGATAGCTGCTGGAGCTCTGACACTGGCCCTGAGCCAACGTTGGGCCAGGGTCAGACCCACAGAAGCCTCCTGCTCCTCCCCATCTGCAGTTTCTTCCCCTCCTCCCCTCCTCCCCCCCTTACTGTCAGATGCAGTGGGCTTCCAGCCCAGGCTGGATTCCCTCCCAGGCATGGAAAACTCCACCGCTGCCTGGCCACTGCTTCATGGCTGAGCAGGGGCTGTGCCTCCATTGTGCTCTGTGACCCAATAGGAAACAGCCTGAGCAGCATCAATCAATAAGGAGGTGGGGGGTGAGGGGAGGGAAGAGACAGTGACCGGGGACTGGGAGTGGAGGGGCAGAAATTGTGGGGGGAGTAGGAAAGAGGTTGTGGGGAGCTAGGGGTGGGGGGATTCAGGTGGGGGGCAGGAAGGCGGGGCAGGTAGGAGGAAGAAGGGCGGGGGCAGAGGGTGAGGGGCTTCCTGACCTCCCTAGCCACCTGTCCCCACCAGTCACTGTTTTTCCTGCTGTCACAGTGGCAGGAGTGAAGGGGGGACATGAATTTAGGATAGCCCTCCAATAATTAGATTCTGTACCTGGAAAATTATAACAGATTTATAAATGTTCCATATATAGAATCTAATTATTGGGGGGTTGGCTTACTTCAGGACCATTTTAGATTTCAGTAAATACGATATTGTATATTGTTTCATTTTTTTTATTTTTATATCATCATATATTGTGTTCTGCTTTAATTTTATTTAAATTTGTAGAATGAATAATCTTACTGAATGCATTTACGAATATTCATGCATTTAGTGAACAATTAAACTAACGTAAACAATTAATCCAATTGTATCAGGGATTCCCAACGTTTTTTCTCTGAAGTGTCTTTTTAGAGGGCCAGTCCTGAGTGGTTGTCTGTATATTGACTAACTGTTGAAATATGATATATCAATTAAGGTAAAAATGTTATGCACTGAATGTTTATTTATTTTTAAATTTATTTTTAACGTCTTGTTTTACTGTTGCATAGGTTTATAGATTTACCAGATAACAAATAAAGCTTTAAGCCAATAATTAAAGTTTCCCATTGAAAGCTTTAAATTTGTTTTAAATTATATCTAAATCAAATTTAAAATATAGAAATTATATATATAATTACATTTTACTGGAAAAAAGTGAAAAAAGCTTCATCGCTAATTTTTATTAAGTGAGATTTATGCCGCTACTTTTTATCAGATACCATATGTTGCAGTCTTGGTTCAGTGCTTGACTTTGCAACACAGAGGAAAATGATCATCTATCAGTCTGGATCTTAACTTAGAGTTTTATATTCATTTTAAAGAATGCTTTATCACATAAGTATATGCTTATGAATAGAGAAGCTGTGCATTGTCCACGTTTATGTATTTCAGGGTACATTTCAGGAGACTCTTTAGTAAAACATCAGCAAAACTAAGTTCACGGTAAGATAGCTTTGCTAGTGCACCTGCTTGCAAGTTGATCATTTTAACTCCATGTCCATTGGAGCACTTTCTGGGTCACATATAAGTGGATTTTGAAAAATAGCCAGTGTCTGCATGTGAAACTTAAAATCCAAGAAGCCCCAGATGAATTATTTAAAAAAAAGCACTGAATTAATTGGAAATAGTTTTTGGACTGCAGAACTTTCAGTGAACTTAGTTCTTTTTTCCAGGAGCACTCCAAAGCAACTTACCTTCATATGATATTACAGCTCAAAGCTATTTGCATAGCCTAAACATCATTTCTTCCTATGCTATGTAGACCAACAGTCCTATTTTTGATAGACAACACAACAGTAATGCTTTGTCAACAGAAAGGGGAGAGCACAATCCCTCCCCACCACCTTTCCCAAGAAATTGTTCTGGAACTGATGTATTTATTTTCACATTGCACTAGTAACTCTGCATGCACTGGGCTTGTAATCTTCCAGAATGTAGGGCAGCTTGTTCAATGGACCCTGTGTCAATGCACCTGACAGCTGGTTAAATACTATTAAAGAAACTGCACTGTTGAAGTCCAAAATACACAGTGTACAGCAGAAAGGAATTTACCAGTGTAACCTCTGCAGCTATATGAAGGACATTCTCTATTTGGGGCAGTTTGAGCAGCATACTCAAGTTCCTGTTATACTGGATTACTTGGTGTTCCTAAAAAACTCAAGGCTATCCATCTTAATGTACTCTTGTGATATAGTTGTAACAATTGCATCCATATGACATGGTACCAATATACAATATTTTCCTGCAAACCACATGCCAACAAATAAGACACATACCTTGTTTTTGAAAGACAGAATGTGGAAATATTAATTTTCCAGAATCATGGCTGAGAGAGCTGAATGTATACAGGAAGTTCACTTGCCCTCAGCCAGCTCAATGGCTGCTTCAGGAATAACCTACAAGCTGCTCTGCCAAAAGCTGCTGCTAGTTTGGCACTGGCTGTAAGAGGGTTAAAACTGGACTACACCCCTGCTGCTGGCTTCCCCTAAGAGAAGTGGCCATCCTTACAGCACAGCATCTCCATGCTTCTATTCCTCCATGCTGCTATTCTACATGGAAAATCATTTTACCTGCTTAAGGCATGCATCCCAATTTTGGGGGCTGATTTTGGGGGGAAGTTTGTGGGGTGCATAAATAAATATGGTTAGCTGCTGTGATGTAACTGTTTGCAGCAATACAAGTGTAGCAAAACAGTTGCAGTTTTAAGTTGCACACAAGGATAAAGTTCCATTGATTTAACTCACTGCATGGGGATGTAATAGGTATGTCATAGCAGATGATGCACATTACAGAGATGTGCATCCCATTCCCCTTTTGAAGTTGATATAAACTACATTTGTCTATAGTCTTAACTGAGTTAATGATTCTTCCCTTGGAGCTTCTATCCACATGTTCACTTCAGCATCCATTTAGGAAAATGACTTCTTCTGTAGCCCTAACATCACCCTGACTGGTAGAGGAAATCCAAGAATTTATGCTGGTCCACCTGAGGCAATGTTTTGCAAGGGCAAAGTGAACCATAGGCTTCATTTAAATTTTTTACAAAATTATTTCAGAATTCCATGTAAATCCATTGGTTCATTTGCAGTTTTTCTTTCCCAGTCCCCATTTTTTCATTGAGGAAAGTCAAATGGTGCATCCTTAAGACAGTTAAGATACTTTCATTTTATCTGGACAGGATGAAACCCTGTCTTTTCCTGACTTTAAAATATCTGCAGATAGAAGAAAGGGTTAGGCAATAGTTATCTAAAGGTTGTCTCAACAATTTAGCTGTATTAGAACCAGCCATGCAGGAAAGAACCCATTACACACAGCTCAGGCGGTTTCTTCAGTTTTCCTGGGAAGCACACCAATTTCAGAATTTTGTAAGACGGCTACATATGACTCATTCTACATTTTCACACAATACTGCTTCTTAGTGCTGACATCAAGACCTGATGCCTAATGTGGCAAAGCTGTTCTGTTAAAATACTCTGAGCACCCACTTTCTGTCTATAAGGTCACTTCTTGTGAATCAGCAAGTGTGCAATGTTGGGAAGTTACTCAAAGAAGAAAGTAACTATCATAATTATTGGTTCTTTGATGTGTGTTAGCTACCTACATCCATCAACTTCTATATAGATTCGGTACAGGGGGATGGACAAGTAAGCAGCTTGCTCTACTTTTCATGATTGGATGGGGAACATAAGGTAACTAGGGAGTGAGCATAGCTGCAGAGGCAAAAAAGAATCTGTACTGGCAGACATTGGACCCAGGCATACCAGAAGTAGAGCACAGGTGAATCACACATGTCAAAGAACTGCGGGTGCTGTAGAATAACTGAGATTTTTGTTTTATTTTTAAGGTTTTTTAAAACTAAATGAGAAAGCTACATGAACAATTGAATACATATTTTAAGGTCACACATATACCATAGGGTTTCATAAGGATAGATAAACTGATCTGTCATTCCAACCATCGGAGCTCAATGATGCACACAATAGTTCCAGCCACTGGAGGATTAGAAAGTACTTTTAAAAGTTAATTCTTCCAAATTATATACTTAATACCGTTACCTTTATACACTGACCTAAAGAAAGGCATTTTATCCCCCAAAACCTGTCCATCTCTCCCAGAAATATGGGTGGTCTGATTAAAATATATCACAAAAAAACCCTTGCTTTTCATGCTTAATGCTGGCATTTTAAAAATTTACCAAAATATAAAGAATTTAAAATTACTTTAAATAGCATCAAATTATTAATTGAGGATTAATTCTCTCTGCTGCCTTTTAAATATGTAGAAAACATTATATTAAGTTATTGGAGTTTTAAAATAAATGTTACCAAGTTGATTCAGTTTTCTAATATGAGTTACTTTTATCAGGGAAGCAAATGTGATTTATGCTAAAAAGATGTCAGAAATAAGTTGGTGGTTAGTCACATCCATTCAATATAAAAACACGTAGAAGAGTTTTTATCTGACAAAAACCAAGGAGCAGGTTATAGATTTTCCAACAGGACACTTTCCCATCAGAAAAGGTTGATGCAAAAGAAATATTCCATGGGAGCATGTCAAAATATTATGGCCAGGTACAGACATTACACTTTTACCAGTATAAATGATCAAAAACTGGTCTATAGCCATAACAGAACAGAAGTTTAGCACATATAGACTGGTTTAAAAATGGTGGAACCTGGTCTAAGATTTGTGTCCCTCTCTCTCCCTCTCTCCCCTGACTAAAAATCAAATGTGTATTCTGTTTGCTACCAATCTAAACTACACTGCTTACAGAAAACTTAGATCAATTCCACCTAGGGTTTTTTGAATGAGGGCAAACCGGGCAACCACTCGGTGCCCCACACTGTAGGGGGCCCCAACATTTTGAACCTAGAATGAACCTAGAATATAGCCCAATGTTAAAAAACTGTTTCTTTGTATTCTCAATATTGCATTAAGATACTTTTACTGCAGTTTCATGGATAGGCCAAAGTGAAATTGAAATAAAACATGCCCGACTTATTTATAGGCCATCAAAATTAAGCCTCTGAGGGGCCCCAAATGACTCTGTTGCCCAGGGCCCCAACAACTCTAAGGCTACCACTGTCTTGATATCCAGTATACTATTACTTCATCTTATTTAATACATTACTACAAGTATACACATTTCTAACTTTCTCTTCTGCTTCAGAAGGTAAAGGCATCAGTTGTTTTAGGTTACTTAGTATATCAGAGTATATTTTTATTTATATCTTAGTATATTTTTTTGGCTCTGATATGTGCTCACTTCAGCAGCACATATCAGAGCCAAAAATAGAGGATTTATAATTCTTGAATACAGAGTCATAAAGATAATCATGTTTCAGATGATTGTTAAAGTGAAGCACTATAAAACTTCTGGTGCAAGAATCAACAATGTCATTTAGATGGAAAATATGACCAATTTTCCTCTTACTAATGCTGTTAACAGTAGCCTCAAAAATAACAAATTGAAATCTAGGGTAAGAATACTAACCCTCCTTCATTGCTGTTTAGTAGTAACATGTAATGCTTTTCAAAGCTGTTGCTGTTACCATGTTTCTGAGATTTAGCGGAGGTTTTGTTAAGGAGCTTGCTTCATGTGTTCGGAAAAGAAACTTGCAATTTAGGGGCAATATGGCTTTGTGGGTAGGACTTTCCATGTTGAGCTGAACATCACTTCATCTCTATAAGCACCTTTTCCTCTCCTACTCTTCAGGACAAAAATGGTCTCTCACTTTTTGTTTGTACAGTGCCTAGCACAAACAGTCTCAAATTTTGCTTCTAGTACTATATGGATGCATCTATTTACTGTGCATTAGACTAATCTAATGTGCAGTAAAGGATCACCGTCTACACATGCACAGCAATTAGTGCACAGTAGATTAATTTAAAGCACTGTTTACCAGGACCCACAGATACAGGTACTAGAAAGCTGTGCTTTTAACTAATGTACCAAAGTGCACATTTAGATGCTGGCTGGCAGTATATTGCTCCCACTCAGCCCAGGAAGTATGGGGCCACTAGGGCTGCCTGGCTAAGTCCTATGCTTCAGGGGGCAGGGAGGGAGAGCTGTCCCCAGCTCTGGGGGCAGCTCTCAGCTGTGCAGAGCTCAGGATCACAGCTCAGCTCAGTGTTGCTGGCTTGAAGCTATTCTCTATGCTCAAGCAGCAGCAGTGCCATGATCTCTCCCCTCACCTTGCTTGAAGGCTGTGGAGGAGCCCAGAATGAACTTGCTGGATCAGCCCATCATCAAGAAAAGTAAGCAGGTAGCCACCTGCTCAGTGGCCTCAGACCCTACTCTGGTCTCTGGGGCTGGCTCTCGGTGCTTGCCATTCTCTGCACCTGAGGGTCATGATGCCTCCCAAGGCACTCAGCCAAAAGGGAGGCAGCAACAAGCTGGGATTCTCCAGCCCATATCCTGGATCCTGCCCAGTGTTGAGGGGAGGCAGGAGCTGAGCAGCACTGGAACTAGAGGGAGATATGAGTCCCCCCAGTCCCAGTGCTGCTCAGCTCCCACCTCTCTCCAGCACTGGGCAGGAGTCGAGCAGCATCAGGACTAGGGATATGACTAGAACTAGAGATATGAGTCCCCCTGGTCCCAGGACTGCTCAGCTCCCACCTCCCCCAGCACTGGGCAGGAGCCGGGATATGGGCTAGAAGATCCCAGCTCATCACTGCCCTCCCTCCATCTCCCAGTACCTTGGGAGGCAGACCGATTTTGAGACACAGAGGATGGTGCTTACCAAAAGCCAGCCTCGGGAGCCAGAGCAGGGTCCGAGGCTGCTGAGTGGGCGGATGCCTCCTTACCTTTCTTGATGATGACTGATCCTGCAAGTTCATCCCAGACTCCTCCACTGCACGCAAGCAAAGTAAGGGGAAAGATCAAGAAGCTGCTGCCACTTGGGCATGGAGAATAGCCTCAAGCCAGTGCTGCCAATCTGGGCTGGGATCCTGAGCTCCACACCACTGGGAAGGAGCTGTCCTCAGATCCCAGACAGCTCCCCCTGCCCTCTGGGGCTCAGGGCCTGTTCTGATCTCTATGCAGCTGTGAGGGAGCTGCCCCTGGAGCTGGGACACCTCCCCTCCACCCCTGCATGGAGCCTAGGCCTGGCCCCCATGCACCCTGCCAGCCTGGGGCTGGCACCCAGGGGAGTCTGAAGCTCCCTCTGACTGCTGCAGGGGAGCAGAGCACTGCAGAAGCAGCCCTGGACTATACTGCTTCTGTTGAGCTCAGTTTGCTCCTGACACAGGTGCATGTGCAAAAGTGTGCCCTAATGAACCTGAATTTTCTGCATAGAAAATTCAGGTGCATTAATTGCATATGTAGATGTGCCCTATATTGCTCAAATATTGCTTGTGCCAGTCCTATAAGACATTTAATAATAGTGCTGGTAATAATCTGCATGCCAAATGGTACACATTTTGTAAGCAATGAACATATCACCTATGTAGTACACATAAGTAGCATAGTAGATACTAGATAATTCCACTTAAAAATATTAAATTACATGACAATGAAATTGTTGATTATTATAGATGCTTAATAATTAGTTGTATTTTTTACTTAGGGTATGGACCTACAATTTACCATTACATAGGTTTGTTAACTTTAAAATACTATTTCAACAATTAAAGCAGCAGAAGATTAAGAATGAGTTTGAATAATTCATTTTTTTTCACAACTGTTAGAATAAAAGCCTGAAAAATAAAAACAGTGTCTGTAACAGACAGCAGAAAGCAGAAGCTATACTAAATTTTAACTGGGTCCTACCCTCTTCTCACCAGTGGGGATGCAATTTGTAGGCCTCTCTCTGTAATCTTGACCAACTGCCACTTACTTTTAGCTTTCACCTTACCTGGCTTTATTATAGCATACACCCTCCTCCTCCTTCCTTTTCCCTTTTGTCCACTGATATCATACTCTCAGTCCTGGTTACCCTTACTCCTCTATGTTTCCCATGAGCTCTACCTGCTCCTCTTCCCCTCTCTGCTTCAGTCAATTCCTTCTAACTCGGGAGTGCCAAACTCATTCAGCCTTACAGATCACATGAGGGTCTCTAGGCCTGTCTGCGGGCTGAATCTAGCCAATGGGCAAGGCTGGTCTGGTGACGCATTACATGCAGCATGCTTTCTGTACTGACCCTCTTGTGCTTCAGGCAGCACATGCCAGTTGCACTCCAGGGCTTGCTATTTGGACCTGGCACCAGGAACACTGCCTGCAACCTAGGGGACCAGAACAGGGCAGACGATGCATGCCAGGCCCCACTGGACTTGCCTTGAGTGCTGGATCCAGGGCTAGTCAGGATTGAGCCCCAGTGTGTAGGGCTGTCTGGCAGGGTGTGTAGGGCTGTAAGCAGTGGGCAGCATACAAAGCTTCAGGTCCAGCTTGAACATTACAGGCAGCACAAACCCTGAAGCAGGGCTGGCATGTGGTGCTCGTAATACACATGCTGGACCAGGTGCTGTGGGTGATGCTCACAGCATAGGGAGCTAGCATAGGGCCTGTGCTCTGGCTCTGTCATGGTCCTAGACTGACTCAGAGGCAATGCTCAGTGCTGGTCCAGTGTGAGTGCTGTGTACAGCTCGTGTGCCAAACCAACCCCCTGTGCCACAAACAATGCCTGCAGTGCCAGGTCCAGACCATGAGCCATATTAGCTCCTCATACCACACATGGGGTGCATCTGCTACTCTTGGGCCAGATCTTTGGGCTCTACAGGCTAGATTCAGCCTGTGGACCATATATTTGACACCTATATTCTAACTGCTATCTCAAATGCAGATCTCCATCCAATTCTTTTTCCTCATTTTTAGTGATTTTTTTTCCCCCAATCTTGGGGCAGTCCCTGTACCCCAGCCTCTCTGTCTCTGACAGCTGATCCCCAGCACATGTGGTGGACCCCCAGCTTGACCCCCAACACAGCTGGGAGGTAAGTGACCACTCCCCTGGACCTGAGCAATCTATTCAAACCCCTTACATCAGCAGAGCCAGCTGAGCCTCTGGCTCCAGCATGTGAGTATGGAGAGCCACCAGCAACCTCACCTAAGAGAAGGCACAGAGTGATCGTGGTGGATGAATCTCTCTTGAGGGGGACAGAGGGAGTGAGCTGTCACTGTGACCCCTTAGCCCGTGAGGTCTGCAGCTTCCCAAGGGCTCACGTCCAGGATGTAACTGAGAGGATCCCCAAACTCATCTGGCTCTCTGACCATCATCCCATGCTGCTCATCCATGTAGGCACTAATGACATGGCTCAGAACAAGCCCAGCCAGGTGATGAGTTACTACCATGCTCTGAGGGTTAGGCTCAAGAGTCTGGGAGCACAGGTCGTTTTTTCATGATCATGGGTCATGGGCCTCATAGGGAAAGGTGCATCAGAGAAGTTAACAAAAGACTCTGGTGATGATGCTTTAGTGCGGAGTTTGGCTTCTTTAACCATGGTCTACATTTCAGGGAGAGAGGCAGCAGCTTGTTGGGAAGGGATAGCTTCCACCTCATCCTGAAAGGAAAGAAGCTCTTCTCGGCCAGAATGGCTGACCTACTTGACAGGGCTTTAAACTAGGATCACTGGGGGACAGGTGGTCAATTAACAGTTATAGCCCAGGTCATGTCAACCACAGTATTAATAGGTTAGGTAACCCAAGGGAACCTACTCTGATGATATCCCAAGGAATGATCACATCCCAGCCCACGGGGAAGGCCAGGGCTTCCCATGGTAGGCTCAACTGCCTGTACACAAATGCCAGGAGTTTGGGAAACAAGCAAGAGGAACTGGCCCTTCTCCTGAGTGACAAAAATTATGATGTCATAGGGATAATGGAGACCTTGTGGGACTCTACCTATGACTGGTCCATAGGTTTAGAAGGCTATACCTTGTACAGGAAAGACCATGTTGGGAAGAGGGGTGGGGGTGTAGCTCTCTATGTGAAGAAGCAGTACACTTCCCTTCAAACTGAATTTAGCAACCAAGGAGGGTGTCTTGAGACCCTCTGGGTTAAAATACAGGGAGAGCATGGCAGTTTTGGGCCCCCTGCTTCAGGAGGAACATGGATTCATAGATTGTAAGGGGCTGGAAGGGACCTTGCAAGATCATCAGATCCAGCACTCCCTGCATTATGCAGGAAGGACAGCTGGGGTCAGGTGACCACAGTGAGGTGACCGTCTTGTCTCCTCTTGAAGATTTCCAGGGTAGGTGATTGCACCATCTCTGGAGGGAGTTTATCCCGCAGTCTGGACACCCTGACTGTGAACAAATTTTTCCTAGTTTTAAGCCTGAAATGGTCTCCCAGGAGTTTTTGGCCATTACTCCTGGTTTTCCCCAAGGATGCTCTGGTGAACAGTTGTTCATCGAGACCATGATGTGTTCCCCTGATGTAGTGGTAAGCTGCTACCAAGTACCCTCTCAGCTTTCTCATTTTTAGTCTTAAGAAGCCCAAGTTCCTCAGCCTTTCCTTATGTGGCTTGCCTTGCAAGTCTCTGACCATACAGGTGGCTCTTCTCTGGACTCTCTCAAGCTTTTCCATGTCCCTATTGAAGTGCAGTACCCAGAACTGGATGCAGTACTCCAGCTGTGGTCTCACCAATACTGAGTAAAGTGGAAGAATCACTTCCTCAGTTTTGCTTGAGATGCATCAGTTGATGCATGCCAAAGTATTGTTTGCCCTGCTGGCTACAGCATCACATAGATAGCTCATGTTCATACTATGGTCTATTATTACCCCTTGGTCCCTTTCAGTCATGATACTAGTCAGTATGGTGCCACTGGACCTGTAAGTAAGTTGGGGATCCATTCTTCAGATGGATCACTTTACACTTCTCAACATTGAACTTCATCTGGTTCCTATCTGCCCAAGTTGCCAGCCTGTCTAGGTCCACCTGTATCTGCAACCTATTTTCAAGCATGACCACACTCCCCCATAGCTTGGTGTCATCCATGAACTTGTCCAGTGAGCTCTACACCCCCACATCCAAAGCATTGATAAAGATGTTGAAAAGCACTGGGCCAGGCATGTACCCCTGAGAGACACCACTGGCCACTTCTCCCCAGGACAACACAGATGGATTCATTAGAACTCTTTGGGCCCTACCCTGCAGCCAGCTTCCTACCCACCTAACTGTTAAGCTTTTAAGCCCACAATTCTCCAATTTTCCCATGAGAACATCATGAGATACCAGATCA